AGTAACCTATGAGAGTTCCAATTTTTCCACATCCTTGCCAGTCCTTGTTACTGTCTGTCTTTTTTATTACAGTCATCTTAGTAGGTGAAAATTGTTATCTCATTGTGGTTTTGAACTTGCATTTCCCTAATGACCAATGATGTTGAGCATCTTTTCATGTGTTTATTAGCCATTTGTGTATCTTCTTTGGAGAAATGTTTATTCTAATCTTTTTCTTTTGTTTATTTTTAGTTAGATTGTTTTTCATTGTTGAGGTATAAAAAGTTATTTTAAAAAATTGTAGATGATTCATAAATAATTTTGAAGAAAAAAATAAATGATGTAAGGTTCTTGTGGTGTTTCAGGAGTTTGAGTCAAAGGACTATGTGAGGCTCAGTGAACCCAAAAGGTAACAGAATTCCATTTCCTGGATGGGAGTATCCAGAAAAAAACCCCAGCCCATGAGGGAGGATAGGGATGACAACAAGCTCCTGGTGGGAAGCCATCTTAGAGGGGTTCATCCAGGCCTCCTGGAGCAGAAGGAGTTAGTTTTATGTGTAAACCTGGCTGAGCTATGTATAGTACATAGTTATTTAATCAAACGAGAATCCAGGTGTTGCTGTGAAGGCATTTTGTAGATGTGGCTAACCTCTACATTCAGTTGACTTTAAGTAAAGGAGATTATCCTTGATAGCCATTCAATTAGTTGAAGGGCCTTAAGTGCAAGACTGAGATTTTCCTGAGGAAGTAGACTGTATGGTCTGTGGACTGTGGTTTCGGTCCCTGTTGAGTTTCTAGCCTGCTGGCCTGCCCTTCAGATTTCTGACTTGCCAGACCCCACCGTTGTATAAGTCAATTTCTTGAGATAAATCTCTTTATATGCGTATATATGCGTTACTGGTTCTGTTTCTCTTGCGAGCCCTGACTAGTACCGGGAGGAAGAAGACATCTTCTTGTCATGAACTCCCCATTTGATCTTTTGAAAACACCAGATTTGGAAATGGAAGAGGAAAGCCTGGCAGCCAAGGAGAGGGTCTGAGGGGAGGGTCTTTGAGACCCTTCTATCTCAGAAGAAATAGCACCCCATGCCCAGAGATGGGGGCAGGTGGTGCAAACGCTCCCTGGAAAATGCTTCATCTGGATCATCACATGCATGAAGACCCATTTCTAGAAGCTCTAGTTTAATCACTGTTTCCATGTTCTTTGTCTCGTATATGCAATCTCTTGTCTTGAGATGAAGAGGTTTCTTTCAGCTTCCTGTGCTCTTGTTCAGTGACCATGTTCAAGAGAAATAATTTGGTTTTGAGAAGAACAATGATGCTTTCCAGCTTTTCTTCAAGGTCTTTGACTTGCTCTCTAAAGGTCTTCAGCTCTTCATCACATGCTCATCTTGTCATTTGCTTTGGAACTTTTCTTCTCTTGCTCCAAGCAATGATGGACAGATAATTTATTCCGAGACCCCATTTCTTTCCCTTGACAAAGTTCAGTCACTTCATTTCCTCTCCCTTGAAGATTTTGATCTGCACTTTTTCAATTGAGGTTTTCTCAGCCAAAAGACTTTTAAGATGGTCTGTCACGTTGGCTTTTCTGTTTCCTTTTTTAGCAATGTTGATGTAGAATTGATTTTTCTCTTCATCTTGGATGTTTAATCGCACACTCGACTTTTCAAAATCAATCAGTTTCCTCCTAGTTCCTCTTGTCTGGTAATATAAATACTGTCACCACCTGCTGATTCCAAGTTATTACCCATGTTCTCTTCTCCAAGGGAAGCTGTCAGGTCTTTGATCTTCAGCAAACAGTCTCGGGCCGGCTGAGTGGCCGATGGTTAAGAACTGGATTGGAATGCCAGAGGGCCCCCGTTCGGATCCCACATGTGAGGGCCAGTGACACTGCCCTCCACAGCTAAGATGCTGAACAACAGCTCAACCTGGAGCTGGGCTGCTGTGAGTCGCCGGCGACGGCGTAGGCTGCAGCCCCTGTGGCAGCGGGTTGCCATGGGCTACCGTATGTAGCCAGCAGCCAGCGTGAGCGGCCAGCAGCCGCAGTGAGCGGCCGTCCAGGAGCCGGCGACTGATCTGCCTCGCCCGGGAAGAGCGCAATGATGGTGCCAACTTGGGCCAGTGAAGCAGCGTCCTCCACAACTAGACTGAAGAACAAAACGACAGCAACTGGTCTGTTCCCCTTCCCCCAATTCCCCAGCACTGTTCCCATCCCCCCAATTCCCCAATAAAAATCTTAAAAAACAACAACAACAACAACAAAAAAAAACAGTCTCCATAGACTTGACCTAGACTCTTCACAATGCCCTGGAGTTCTGTATGAAAGTCCTGAGTCTTGCTTTTGTTGTCCATAGAGTTTTTTGTTTGTTTGTTTGTTTGTTTGTTTGTTTAAAATGTTATTGGGGAGTTGTGGAAGGGAACAGTGTTGGGAAATTGGGGAAGGGAAACATTGTGTTTTTCCAGGACCCATCAGCTCCAAGTCAAGTTGTCATCCTTTGATCTTAGTTGTGGAGGGCGCAAGCTCAGCCCCAAGTCCAGTTGCTGCTTTCAATCTAGTGTGTGTGTGGGGGTGCGCAGCCCACCATACCATGCAGGAGTCGAACCAGCAACCTTCTTGTTAAGAGCACGCACTCTAACCAGCTGAGCCATCCAGCCGGCCCTGTTCATAGAGTTTTAAGTTTGCTTTTTCCACTTGTATTTTTCTGAATTTGGTTTTTGCTTTGAGAGTCGTGTTCTTTCTCATGTTCTAAGAGATTGACTTATCTTAATCTGAATACTGAGGTTTGTCTTTTCCCAGCTGGTTTGGTATTAAGCATAGATGAACCAAATCATGGGGCTGGATGTGTCCAGGACGTTAGGCACTTCAGACATTTCTTTCCTTGCAGGGTGAAACTGACAAGAGCTTTAATTTTACTAGACCTAGTGCTGAATTGCTAAGGGTGTGTTCCTTGACTCTTAGTACAGAAAATGTTTTTTTCATTGACTGAAAAATTCTGTCTAAAACCAAGAGAACTGTTAATACACATACTGTCATGGCATATGTAACTATCTCCCATTGATACCCAGTGGAGGGACACTTGGTCTCACATTGCCAGGTACTTCTGCATAGAACTCTGCAGTGTCTCCCAACTTCACCAACAGTGCAGATTCATGGCAGGAGGAAGCCCCTTCATGGTACCCAGCCTGCACAGAGCCCCTCTATTGTCGCCAAGTCCTGCTGGGCCACAGCATGTCATGGCAAACACAGAGCAAATTTCTACCCTGAGCCAAACTTGCGTCTGGCAACTGGATAGACCATGAATAAGAGGGTCAAGAGGGAACAGGACTGATACAACAGCCCTGTATCAGATACCCTGAGACCCTCAACTTTGTCCAGAGCTTTTTCTTTTTTCTACTTAAACCTCTCTTCTGAGACCTTGAAGGCCTCATCCTATTCTCTGTGCATGCTGTTCCCTCTGCCTGGAAAGTGCTTCCACTTGCTGCTCACCTGGAGCCAAGACCCCTCCTATAGTTACTGGATCTCATCATCCCTGTGTCCCCAGTTCCCAGGGCAGGGCCTTGCACCAAGTAGGTGCTCAGTGCTCCACCAGTGTTCATGGAGAGAATGAATGAATGAATGAGTGAACGGATGAATGAGGGACAAAGCCTTCATTTGCCATCCCTACAGATTCTCATGTAATGCTAGCTCTGTTGACTCCCTTGGGAGAGCTTGAAACTCTTTTCAGAACTCAGTGTGGAAGGGTGGAGAGAAGGGAAGGCAGTGGCAGCTCTGCCCTGGGGTCCCCATTCTCCCTGCCACTCCCACCCCTGCCACCCCCACTAGGAGACTTTGAACATGTTACCTAACCTCTCTGAGTGTCCTTTCCTCATCTGTAAATGGGGAGAGCAATGCCTGCTTCATGTGATGTTGTTGGGATTGACATGAGGGTGGACATAGGTAAGGGGTTCAAAAGATTTTAGTGAAACTTCTTGATTCCATTATCCAAGGTATTAGCCTTTCTATCCATTAATTATTTGGTTATTCCATGCAGTTTAGCAAGAGTGTTAAGATCATAAATAAATTAGCTGCTATCAACTTAAGAAAAAAAGAGATAAAACTTTTTATTGCTAAGATGGTATGCCTAGTAAACATAAGAGACTAGTAAAAACTGCTAGAATTAATAAGAGAATTGGACAAGGTGACTATATATAAGATAAACATAAAAAGCAAAACTTTTTTTTTTTTAAAGAAAACTTTATATTAAGGTATAAAAAGCAGCTGCGGACTGTCAGCTCCCTTTCTTCTCTCTGTTCCCTCTTCGGGAACCTGAGCCACAGCAGGCCTGGCTGGTGTCACAGGTCTTCAGCGCCTTTTGTAGTTATTCTCAGCAGGAGCTGCCAGAAAGCTTGAAGCAAAAAGTGTCAATCTTTTTTTTTGTATTCTTAGAGTGAATACCTACCAACAAAATTGGGGGGAAATTACATTTATAGCAACCAAAACTATGAAATACTTCCGAATCCGCTTACAAGAAAAGTACAAAACCTATAAAGAGAAAACCACACAATCTTATTAAAAAATATAAAATAAGATTTTTTTTTAATTTTTTTATTGGGGTATTGGGGGGAAGAGAACAATGCTGGGGAATTGGGGGAAGGGGAACAGACAAGCTGCTGTCGTTTTGTTCTTCATTCTAGTTGTGGAGGACATTGCTTCACTGGCCCAAGTTGGCACCATCATTGCGCTCTTCCCGGGCGAGGCACATCAGTTGCTGGCTTCTGGACGGCCGCTCACTGAGGCTGCTGGCCGCTCACACTGGCTGCTGGCCGCTCACACTGGCTGCTGGCCGCTCACACTGGCTGCTGGCTACATACGGTAGCCCATGGCAACCCACTGCCACAGGGGCTGCAGCTTACGCCATGGCCGGTGACTCACAGCAGCCCAGCTCCAGGTTGAGCTGTTGTTCAACATCTTAGCTGTAGAGGGCAGTGTCACTGGTCCTCATATGTGGGATCTGAACTGGGGCCCTCTGGCATCCCAAGCCAGTTCTTAACCATTGCGCCACTCGGCCGGCCCTAAAATAAGATTTGAATGAATGCAAAGATATGTCATGTTCTTGGATATAAAGATACAAATTCAGAAAAGTGTCAATTCTCCCAAATTACTACATAAATTTAATTCCAGCTAGAATACTACTAACAAATTTCCTCCTCCTCCCCCTCCTCCTCCTCCCCCCTCCTCTTCCTTCTCCTCTTCCTCCTCCTCCTCCTCCTCCTCCTTCTCCTCCTCTTCCTCCTTCTCTTTCTCCTTCTTTTTCTTCTTTAGGAATTGACAAAGAAAGTATGAAAAATAAGAACAGAGGAGGAGACTTGCTCTCCAGAAATTGGAATTGGCTAGAAAGCCACTGTAATCAGAGCAGTCTGTGGCAGACACTGCCAGTTTCCTTCCAATATTCATTCTCCTCCTTATCCTTAGTAGAACCCTAGATTTACATCTAGATACATAGCCATTTGGAATAAAGACCACATCTCCTAGCCTGTCTTCCAGCTTAGTGTGGTCATGTGAGTAAGTTCTAGCAAATGAGATACAGGCAGACGTATCCTGTGAAGCTTCAGGAAATGTCCTTAGAGGGAGTGAGACATACCTATCTTTCTTTGTTCCCTTCACCTTCCATGGGTTAAAAGGCTGGAGCTTGAGCAAGCATCTTGGACCATACGAGAAAAGCTATGTGTTGAGGATGGTGGAACAAGAGAGAAGGCTCCTGGTTCCCAGAAACTGTGGAATGTCAAACCAGCTCTAATTACTTATGTCCGGACTTCATTTGCGTGAAAGGAAAAATAACTTTTATTTATTTCAAGCCATTATTACTTTAATTTTTCTGTCATTCACCAGTAAACCCAATTCTAATTGATGTTGAATTTGGTACCTGGAAATAAAGCACTGCAAATGACGGAACCTAGATGCTTAATTAATGAGTGCACTTGAGATGGCAAGGACTCAGGCATTGCAGACTGGGAAGCTGTGACTCTTTGTTATACAGTAGTAAAACAGTTGATCAAAGCCTGGGGTGTTAGTTACTTATTACTATGTGGCAACGCACCTCCAAACTTAATAGGTTAAAACAACAAGCATTTTATTACCTCTCACAATTCTGTTGGTTGACTGTAATCAACTTCTGCCAGTCTCACAAGGGTCTTTGATGGGTTTCTGTCAGATGGTAGCTGGAGATGGAATATTCAAGATGACTTCACTCGTGTGTGTGTGGCGTTGTGGTGGGATGGCTGCAAGGGCTGTGACCTCTCTCTCCATGTGGCTTAGCTTGGGCTTTTTTACATGACAGCTGGATCCCAAGTATACAAAAACTGAAAGCTGCCAGATCTTCTTAAGGCTTTAAAGTAAGTCACAGGATCAGTTCAGACTTAAAGGAGAGATTCTACACCAGAGTGTGAACACTGGGAGATTTGGTTCATTGGGAGCAATCTTCAGATACTAGCTACCTCACCTTGTATATCATGGGTTAACTAAGGTTGTAGCAATGTAAAAAGGTAGGGACATTTAGAATGTTAGTGTTTTCTGGTTCCTTCTTGCTACTTTTAACAAAGTGCTACTAGAGAAAAAGAGATAGAGCAATGCAAATTAGAGCTAGCTACTCTGTACAACTTTGCTAAGGGAGGAGCTCTTTGTTATAACCTGTAATCTGGGTTAATTGAGAATCCTGTAATTTTGAGTTTTTCAGAGTTTACAAAGCCAATTGCATCTGCACTGAAGCACTTAGGAGTGGTAACTGCAAAGTGGTAGCTATAGGAGGAGTTAAGACTAGTGCCCTCTTTAGAAAAGCTGTGAGCCTGTTTCCAAAGAAGGATGGTGCTTTCCCACCCAAGCCTGTTGTTTCAGAGAGCCTGAAGAGAGCCATCATCCAGCTGGGGGAACGACCAGTAAGTAGAAGATGAGTCTTTAGGCTTGAAAACCATATCTAGAGAAGATCTTGGGTTGTGGCCGCTCACGTTGGAACTGACCAGAACTAAATAGATCAAAGGCCTATTAAAATTTTGAAATATATGTGTTATCAATGTAACTCCCAAACCCAGCCTGCAAAAGCCTGTGATTGTTTAACCCTCAGGACAATCCTTGGACCCTTGAGCCTGCACCAGCAGGAAGTGGACTTATATGACTTCCTCCTGGAAGTCTCATGTAGCAGAGTAAGGATCGGAATCAACATGAGATCGTGCCAGCAGTGGTCAAGGGTGTTGGACTTAGTGCAGTTTGGAAGTAGGAACATCCTCTTTGAATTGAGTAAGCCTCCAGAGTTCTTGGACAATTATGGCTTGGGGACCAAGAGAGATATGCCAAAAACCCTGCTAAGAATGAGAACGATGTCACCCTTTTTGTACCCCAACTGGATCAAACCAGTTCTGTGTGGTGGCAGGACTGCTTAGTGAAGTTCTGATTGTGAGTAATCAATATTGCCTAATAACGTATAACTTGTGTTTGTGAATAATTGATTGTTGTTAATAATATATTTTGCAGGTGACTGATAATCAGCCTTTGATTATACTCTTATGTAAAAATGAGTCTATGGAATTGAAAGGTCCTCCATTTTTGGATCTGTGTGCTGGCCATCAGGAGATTCTAAGGGGCCACCCATTTGGCTGAGACCATACTTTGAGGATCCGCGGCACTATGGAGCATAGCACAACATAACTCGGAGGCCACCACCCCAGGAAGCCCTCCCTGAACCCCCAGGATGAGCCTTGAGCTTCCTCCATTCTCCCCTAGTAAAGGGCTTCCCTCTATTATATCACAGTTTAATGTCACATCCCAGTCCTCTTTAATCATCTTTGTTCAGTGCACAGATATTTATTGAGCCCCTGTTATGGGCCAGACATTGTGCTATATCCAGGAGATCCATTAATGAAAAGACAAAGTCCTTACATTCTGGAAGGAAGAGAAAGGAAAAAATACAAGAAAACTAGTAAACAAGATAATATGATAACTACCAAAGGAAATAGTGTGTTGTAATGGAAATGATAGTGTAGGTGGCAGGGGCAGTGCTGGTCAGGGAAGTCCTTCTAGAGGAGATAATGTGTAAGTTATGACATGAAAGAGGAAAAGGAGCCAAACCCCAAGAGGAAGAGCAACCCAGGCTAAAGAAATGGCTGGTGAGAGGCCAACAGAGTGGCTCAGTTGGTTAAGAGCTCGCTCAAGAGTACAACCTATGAGCAACAGTGGTTCAATGCCTAGCCCGAACTGAGCTGCCACTGAGCTGCCAACAGGTGGCAGGATGGCTCAGCTAAAAAAGAAAGAAAGAAAAAAAATGGCTGGTGCAAAGACCCTGGGACAGGGAAGAACCTGTTTTATTTGAGAGCACAGAAGCTGTGCCTTAGTAAGCAAAGAAGGGGGGATTGGTATGAGACTGCAAAGAGGAAGACAGGAGCAAACATATACTGAGTGTGATGGAAGCTCTTAGAGGGTTTTTGACAAAGAAATGACATGATGTGATTTATATTTTTAAAAGCTCACTCTGTCTGCTGGGTGAAGAATGGCTTCACATGGGACAAGAGTGGAGCAGGAAGACTAGTTAGGAGTCCATGATAGGCAGGAGATGGAGATGGAAATGACTTGGAAAGGGAGGTGGCAATAGAGATGGTGAGAAGTAGCTGGATTTTACATGTGTTTTGGAGATTTTACTAACTTCCTGATAGACTGAATGTAGATCCTGAAGGAAAAGGAAAAGGAAAATTTAGGAATGGGTCTCAGGTTTCTAGCTTGAAGTGGATGCATTTGCATAAATATATGAATTTTTATATATTATATATATTTGCACATATTTACTTGTTTAAACATATACAAAATATTTCTTGAAGGCTATATGTGAAATTCCATAGAAGGTGTGGTACTTTACCAAAGATGGCCGCCAATTTCTCTCAATCCCTGTATGCATGGCCTTTTACAATATGACTTTGCCGATCCTCCCATCAAGAGGTGGAGCCTGTTTTTCCCCACTCTCACAGATGTCTGGCCAGGTAACCTGCTTTGACCAATAGAATGCAACTGAAATGATATCGGAGTTCCGGGCCTAAGCATTAAGAATCCTTGCAGTTTCCACCCTTTCTCCTTTACTGCCCTGAGACCACCCTGTGAAGAAGCCTCCTTGATGATGAGAGACCACAGAAGAGAGAGACCCAGCAGCCAGCCAGCCTGAACAGTCACACATGTGAATGAGGCCATCTTGTACCTTGTAACCACTGTCCCTCTGCCAAAGGACTGAAGCAGCGTGAGTCACCCAGGCAAGACCAGCAGAAGCACCGCCCAGCTGAGTCCAGCCCAAATTACTAACCCACAGAACTGTGAGCAAATAAAGTAGTTGTTGCTTTAAGCCACTAAGTTTTGGGGTGATTAATTATATAATAAGAGATAATCATTACAGGAGGGAACCGAGCGGCTGAAGAACAGGAATAGGAGAGAAATTTTCATTCACCCTTTTGTATCATTTCAATTTTGAACCTCATGAATGTATTACCTATTCATTCTCAAAAACTTTTATGCCACATTAAGTGCATAAAATAACTCTCTTATTTTGAACATAAAGAGTACAGTTTTAATTGACTCATTATTACCATTGATTTTTTTTTAATAAACTTTTCTTGAAACATAACATACTTACAGAAAAGTGCACAAATCATAATAGTACAGATTGATGAATTTTTCGTAAAGTGAACATATCTATCTGTGTAACTAGCACCCAGGTCAAGAAGCAACAACTGCCTCCTTCACGCCCCCTCCTAGTTGCTACCCACAAGATGTATATGTATATGTATTTATATACATATGTATTTATATACATGTGTATTTACATATATGTATTTGAAGTTAATGTTTTTTATTTACATGTATTTATTAACAGAAAAGTCATTTCTTTTCATCTCCATTAATACGTTTGAACAAGTTTTTAAAGAATGTCATTTTAAAAGCACATCAAGTTATTTGCCTTCACCAGAGCACCCACAGATCTCCATCTGGCCCTTCTGCTTCTGATCAGGGTAAAAACATCTTGAGCTGTTCCTGGTTGAAGCCAAACCCCTGCAGTTGGGAAGATGCGTGACTGCCCCCTTGTGACCATATTTGGTTGCTGCATCGAAGCCGGGCACCCAGGTCAGTCAGTACAGGACTTTCCGATGCTTTAGCCAAGGTGAAGAACTAGATAAATTGGGCTCCGTTGTGGGCTGGCATTTTCGAGTAAACCTTCTAGCCGAGGTGAACTGACAGTCCTCGGCTTGGGAAGTACCTATAAGGTTCCCCCCTGCGCCTGACAGATGATTTCCAACAGCAGCCTGTCCTTCAGGGGGCGCAGATGAGTTAGAATGGGGGTGGGGTGTGGGGTGGGGGAAGCAGCTCAAGTCTCCTCCTGAAGAACAATCAGCTGCTAGCGATTGTGGCCTTGGCATTCTCAGGACACAATATTTGAGAGGACCCTGGACATGCCTATATGGCAGAAGGCCCTGCTTCTTTGGAGCGTCTCCCTCCCACACGTGTGAGCAGGCACAGAAAGAAAGAC